AACAGGGAATTTCATAAGTACAAGCTGTTTCTGAGCTCTGGGCGCAGTACTGTGCCTAAGACTTCATAGTAAAACTGCAGAGCAGAAGGAAAGGAGGACCTTTTTCTTCCTCCCCACTTCCAACTACTCTGTGAAGACTGGAGAATATTAGTGGGGTGGGCAGGAGAAGGACTAGCCCATGTGAAAAATGAACATAGTACAGTGGTGCCTCGCAAGACGAAATTAATCCGTTCCGCGAGTCTCTTCGTCTTGCGGTTTTTTCGTCTTGCGAAGCACGGCTATTAGCGGCTATTAACGGCTTAGCGGCTATTAACGGCTTAGCGGCTTTAAGAAAAAGGAAACAAACTCGCAAGAACTCGCAAGATGTTTCGTCTTGCGAAGCAAGCCCATAGGGAAATTCGTCTTGCGGAACGACTCAAAAAACGGAAAACCCTTTCGTCTTGCGAGGCATTCGTCTTGCGGGGCACCACTGTATTTTAGCTGCAGTTCATTCATTTTCAGCTTGTATTCTAGTTATAAAAAGCGCACCTACACATTCCTTGGTGCGCCCATAACCTAGGTTTAAGGTGCCATTTAGTTCCTAGCTTTCATATCTCAGTTTCTAACACTGAGCAAGCTGTTGGGTGATCTGTGGTGATCTGTGACCAAAGCAATTCTGCACATCCAGATTATGAAATAACTAAGTTTCAGAAATGACAAAAATGCAATCTCATTCTAAGTAAACTGAACAGGTGAAAGGTGTTGACTGGCTTTGACAAAGGACTAGCAAGGATGTTAGCAGTGAATTCAAGATCCCCTTTACAGACTGACTGTTAAAAACATTTTACTGCCCCCAAGGTCAATTTAAACAGATTGTAGGATGCCTGGATTCCCTTGAAGGTGATCACTAGCTGTATTCAAAATGGATTTCTGAGGTACTGACATCTAACATGAATGTGGTAATGGATCACAAGCAAACATTTCGACACACATCTTGAGATCTGGGTTACATACACCACAACTCTCATGTATGGGGAGATTTCATATTCACCTCTTCTACCTTGACAAAAGCAGCTATCCAAGGCAGATTTAATTGAAACCAAGTTCTACTGAAACGAGTGGAACCTGGTAACCACATACCAGGCACAAATCTTGTGAGAAATCGGTATCTTGGTTACCACTGCAATCTGAGACTTTGGTTCTATTGACTTCCAACGTACCTCACTTTCTACTGCTCAATATACTTAGGATCAGGATGGAACAGTTCTCTGCGACTCTAAACCTTGCTTTTTTAGTTAACATAAGCAAGATTTAGTAAAAGGTATCCATCAATTTTCCCATTCTGTGCATCTCCACCAGCTGTATAGATTAGAAACTGACATGCTACAAAATGGAACCATGGTTTGCCACTTCAGAAATTTGTGTCCAAATCATGGTTCACTTTCAGGGGTCACATTAAACTCTAGTTTACTATGGTGAGGATGAGCTGCAGTAGTTTCCATCTCCCCTATCCTCTCTTCTGGTGTAGCTCCAAAGAGTTTTTTTGTTTCCGATTTTCATTAACCACAGTTCAGTGCGTTATCTGAATCCTAAATTGTGGTTGATGCTATGATTTGCTTCAACAAGGCAGCTTAACACATGGTTTTAAGTTACCTTGTTTCAAACAACAAGCTAGTTAATCTAAACAAAAACTTCTAAACATCTCCTCAAAGCCATGCAGGAGCAGGAAGAGGAAGCATGTTATTCCAACGCTCACTGTACTCATTCTTGTCATGCTAAACTATGGTTTAGCACAACCTTTCCCAAACTAGTATCCTCTAGGTATCATCCCCAGCCAGGGCACCAGGCTGGGGAACAATGATTCAGTGCGACATCTGAACTGAACCAGTGTCTCATTGGCTGAATGGGGTTGGTTACCTTTCAAACTCAGTTCCCCAATGCAATAAAGTGAAAATAATAATTATCTAATCAAGCAACAAAGACCTTGTACCCTAAACAAATCACGTTACAGGGGAGAAGCAAATACTTTTCTTATCTGACTTCAGGACACTAGCACCATCCGAACCAAAGAAGTCAAACACTTTTAACTAAAGATAAAGGCCACGCACCTGGACACAGGACTTCGACTCAGCGACCGCTTGGAAACAAAAGGACTGCTGGAGCGCCTTCGGTTGAATGGGCTAGGCGACCTTCCACTGTAAGACCCACTTCCCCTCTCGTAGCTTGATGAACGCCTCCTGCTGTATGGGCTGACTGACCGCTGCCGCCTGCCGTAAGGGCTGGGAGAGCGCATATTGGATTGGTATGCAGCAGGCTCCTTGTATGGTGGGCTGACTGATGGTCTCCGCGAAGACCCACCGGGACTCTTCTTGTAGGAATCATAGTTACTGGATGTGTGTGAGCGTGGAGGGCTGAGATCATAGTCCTGTGTGTAAGAGGCTCCTGAGGGGCTATCATCCTGCTTGGGACTGTCTGACCACTTGCGATGGGGACTTCTGGATTTCCGCTTTGGACTGTCCAGCGATTTGTAACTTTTAGGAGCATCCCTTTTGCGGTGACTTTTGCTACGGTCTTTGTGACCGGACTTTGTCTCTCGTTCTTTCCTGGACTTTTCCTTGTGCGATTTGGCTGACCGGGACTCCTTGCTGCTGCTCTTGAATGACTTAGATGAATGGTCATCATTCTCCTCATGCAGCTTTTTGGAGGCCCCCGACACCCTTTCTTTAGTGGAACTCAACTTGCCTGAGGAGTCTTGGTTCCTGTCCAGCCTCTTCTCTTTGTCTACCAGCTTGCTTTTCATCAACTCACGGACTCGCTTGTGTTGATGATGCCGATGCCTGTGTAGCCGGTCACTCCTTTCCGATGTCCCTTTTCTCTCATCATTCTCCCTGCGTTCCAGCTTGAGGGCTGCTTCATCTGAAAAGGTGTCCGAGTCAGAGCTGATATCATCATACTCCACCAATGGCTTGATCATGCTGCCGAGCGGTGCTCCAGCGTCTTGGGCCCCCATCGGTGAGTCTTTGGAATGCCTGGACTTGTGTCGCTTGTGCTTGGAGAGTCGGTGCCTCTCTTTGCTGTTTGAAGTGCCGCTGCTGGACACTGCTTCTTGATGCAAGGACCCCCCTCCTCCTGAATCCTTCTTACCCCCATGTCTCTCTGGGTTTGGCATTCCTTCTCCACTGTGCTTGAAAAGAGGGGGGAATCCTCCAAAACCCCCAAAGTCTAAACCTCAACTTACCCGCTTCCAAAACAGAAGGGCTGCTTTCACTTTCGTTACCCTTTCCTACATTCAGCCCACCCTTCTCTCTCCTACATGGGACTGAATGTGGTTTTGTTACAAGGATCTGGGTCGACAAATTATATTATGGGAGAAGTCGCCCCACAGGCTACCCCCAACCCTCTGAACAGGGGACAAGCAGCAATGGCAAGAATGTCCCCTGTACTTAAGACTTTAAAGGTAGGATGGAAGACCCTGAACAAGTACCCTACCTCAGTTATCCACCGGTTTCAGAACATAAACACGCCAGGAGCACTAAGTAAGATGCTCTTGGGTCCCTTTGTAAATGGGCAATAAGTTTGGGAGTTCTCCAACCTGCTGCCCAACCCCCCACAAAGAGAGCTTCAGAAAAAGACCCCACCCCCAGTTTTCTGAAGCAGCGGTCCCCCAAACAATAGGCCCCTTCGTTTCTAAGCCACCCAGATATTTAAGCAACGTGCTCCTCTTGGTCAGGGGTACCCCCTCCCCACTAACTCAAGGCCAACGTGGAAAGAAAGATGAGGGTCGGACTTAGTTCCTACCTCAAACACCCCCTAAGTTCCTGAGAAGAGAGCACGGGGGCGGGGAGATGGGAACACCTCCACCCGCCCCAAGGCCTGGCTGTGTGGGAAAACCCCTGGGCCCCTGCGTCCCCACCGAGGGGGCTCCCCTGCCCTCAGCCTGAGTCTCTAGCGAGGCCCCCAAGCCGGGACCCCCACCTTCCTCTTCCTCCTAGTACTTCCCAGAGCGAAACGGAGCCGCTTCCAGGTTCGGGTGGGGGGAGGGGTTGGGGGGGAAGAGGAAAGGTAGAAAAGTGAGCAAGGGAGAAGGTTAGCCACCAACTCTCGCGAGAACGTGGGGAGAAATCGCCGTCGTCGTCCTCCCGGCCGCCGACGCCGTGGCTTCCTTTGCAGCCGCTCGGGGGTTCCTTCCCCCAACTCCTCTCTACCTGCTCCTGTTTCTCCAAATATCGCGAGAGCACGCACATGCGCGCGTGTGAGCACTCGCTTGCCCTCCTTCGCGCGCAGGCGCACACGGTCGGAACGCAGGGGGAGACTCGAAAAGTCTCGCGACGCCGGGCGCTGGAAGCAAATAGGGAAGCAGGGCGGGGGGGGGGGGAGGACTTGAAGGCCGATGAAACAATTTTTTTCGTAATCTCGCGGGAAGTGGTTTTGTCTTTCAACAAAACTTTATTTCACGGTAACCGCAGACGACAGCATTCCTCAGGAAGGGAACTTTTATTAAGAGAAAGCGCAAGGTTGTTTTTATAGGGAGGGGCCGTGAACTTCCATTCATTCATTCATTTTTTCCTGTACCGTTCAACAAACTTTATTGAAACTTCTCACGCTGTAGTTCTGGGGATATATATCTTTCAACAAAACTTTATTATTGAATCCCCGCCCCCTTGGCAACAGGAACAAACGAACTTATGAATGGCCGTTTCTTCGCCTTCTCACTTTCAGCTTTTTCAGCGAATACTTTATTGGGCCGCTTGGTAACCATGACAGAACACCACAGCATGCGGACACACTTGGTCCTTCGCATCCTTCCACAAAAGTCTTCCATGTTTAAAGCAAACGACGACAACAACAAAGCCCAGCTGTTCGCGTGAAAGAGTTAAAAAGTGGGTCCTTTTAAGAAGCGGAGCGCGTATCTGTGTCCAAATCTCGCGAGAGCTTCCCTTAGCCTTTGCCGGTTGGCGGCACCGCGGGATTTCCTCGTGAACTTTCTCCCCTCCCCTTGTCCTTTTTCCCCCCCGAATCCCGCGAGAAGAAGCGCGACTTGGTCTCGCGCGGCCGGCGGCGGGATGGCGGTTGTTGCGGGGTAGCATCTCAGGCCAACTGCTGCTCTCGCCCCGGCCTCGCCGCCTCCTCCTCGGAGCGGGAGAGGCCCCTTCCCCCCCACCTCCACATGAGGGAGAGCGGAGGGGGGCACCTGGCCCCTCTCCCGCTCCACCACGCTCCTGAGGGATGAAGGCGGCCCAAGGGGGCGCCGAGGGTGAGTGACGGGGGGGGTCAAGATCTCTCGCTTTCCTTTGGTAAATGCTGCGGGTGAAGGTGCTCGAGTTTCATAGGAAGACCAGGCCCCTTAGAGCAAGGGGGGGGGAAGGGAGTCCGAGCGGCGGTTTGTAGATTTCATTAAGGTTCGCCCGCCAACGCCGCCTAATGCTTTGAGCTGCGGAACAGCATCGGAAGTTCTCTGGCGAAGAGGTCAGAAGGGCCTCACTGCTCCTCGTTCAAAGAGAGCTACGGGGCAGGTTCATGAGTCGCCTCCCTTTCTTTCCATGGACGGGAGGAAAGCGCTTCCGGGAAGACGTCGGACCTCATTTGTGAATTCCTCTCCGGGAGTTATGTGCAGATTGGAGTTTTCAAAAAGCCCCCCCTTTTTTAAATGTAGCATCCAGGGGTGTCGACTTGAATAAAATTATTATTATTATTACTATAAAATATGGGGGTGAGGGTGAAACGCAATCAATCACAAGATCCAGCACATGCACGCCATTTGAATGCCGGTGCCTGTGAACTTGGGGCGGGGGGGGGCTAGGAGTCTGCTCCTATGGTAGTATCTGCAAAGCATGCAACAGTTGAATGCTTCTTCAGTGGGGGGCGGGAAACAAGCTTGGCTTTCTTTTCTTTATTTAAACGTGCTCGATCTCTCTGCTGCTTGCTTTTAAGGCGGGTGTGAGGAACCTATGGGCCTCAAGATGGTGCTGTGCCCTAGCTCCCATCATAACTGACCATTGGCTATGCTGGCTAGGGCTGATGAGAGCTGGGATCAAACGACATTTGGAAGCCAGCAGACTCCCCATCCTGCAGGTGGAAAGGGGCTTGGTGGAACACCCAAAACTCAGAAGCGGGAATTTACTGCTGAATCCTATACTGTGCTTACTTGGCAGTAAACCTCACTATGTTCAGTTGGCCCCACTTATAGTACATGTTTAGGACTGTAGCCTTTGCAGTCCTCCATCATGCAAGAGATTGGCTTTGTAGAAAGAGAAAGGGACTTTCATGGACTTCAACCTCAGAAATGAGCTGGATGTTTCTTTAGCATATGCCTAACCATCATGTTGAGTTAAATCAATGGTTCTTTCAAGCCTTTTGTCTGCAAGCAGTGACTAGCTAAAAGACACAGGGATGTGTATGGAGGACATGCTAGAGGAAGTGATCTATTGCTTTTCAAAACACATAGTGAAGAGTAGGTTTTTAAGGTTTCTGGTGAGGGTGGACCATAGCTGAGTAATAAAGTACTTGCTTTGTGTGCATAAGATCTCAGATTCAATCTCTGGTATATCCAGTTAGAAGACCATCAGCAGTGGTTTGAAAGACCTTTGACTGACCAATAAATAGCACGAGGCTTAGCTGCCCATCAGTAGACAGTAGTGGCCTAGATGGACCAATATGCTGAGTATATGACAATATAAGATGATCATCCTAAATTGGAGATAGATATCTTGCTAGAAATGTCAAGGAAAGAAAAAAATGCAGTTGTGTTACTACCTAGAAATATGCTGTCTCCACTTGTCACTCAGCAACTGCCTAAGAATTTGAAACTTTTCCAGCCCTGTATATGACATACATAATACCCATAATTAAATGGAGATGGTTTTAGAGGTGTTGATGCCTTCTGCATTTCTGAAGCTTGTCAGAAAAATAGCAACATCCAAAAAGAAATCACTTTTAAAAAAAAAAATCTAGGCTGCCTGCCAACATGCACCTCTTAGTCATTTGTGGGTTTACAGCTTTCCTGCCTTGTTACCTTCTTACTTCACCACTGGCAGTCAGGTGAGTTGCTATTTACGGCTTTGTGTTAAAGGTTACTTAACTTTCCATTGAAAAAAGGAAAGTAAATATTCTTGCTACGGCTTTCTTTACAAATCTTTTGCTCGTTATTTATTATGCTTCCTAACTTGCTTTCTGAGGTTTAAAAATATTGAAGTAATTGCTCCCTTGCGAAGCCTCCTATGTTAAAAGTGGCAGCAGTGTGCATTTTAGATGTTACAGCATTGTTAGTTTGCCAGTAGGATAGCTGAAAACAATGCCTGTTTAACCTGCCTTCTTATAAATGTCTCAGAAAGGGATGCATCACTTAAGAATCACACGTTCACAGAGAGCATTAATAGTAAATATATCAAATCCAGTAGATACAAAAGAATCAACCTGAGGTCCTTTAACTGGAAACAAAATATTAAACTTTAGGGTTTCTGTTTGTAAACCCACTGAGCTATATTTGCCTTTAAAACAACAACATCTTGAACTACTCCTCCATTTGATTTTGCCATTCCATTGTTAACATAGGATTTTACATAAAGTTCTGAGGTTAAATAATATGAAGCAGGCCCCTTTTAGCTGTGTTCACTGTAGGATTAAGCCCTCTTATTGCGTCCTGAGCTTGATATTTTACTTATGACAGTATTGATCTCTTCTACACCTGTATGTAAGAAATATGGAGAACATAGATCAGTACCTGCCATTGGTTACCTAATGTTGATGGTACGTATTGTAAATAATTCTGGATTGCATGTACCATGGTCCCATTCTGCAAGGTACTTTAGTCTATTCATGGTCACATAGCTCAAGTTAATGTTCTCTGGGGGTTATGCAGGGAAATTGAAGGTGAACCTGCATCTCTGGACTGAAATTCAAATATATCGTATGCTTCACTGACTTGCAATTTCTCTTATAGAAACGGAGAAGCTGAATAAGATGAGTTCCCTTCTAGAAAGGCTTCATGTCAAGTTTAACCCTAACAGTAGACCTTGGACAGAAACCATGAAGCTTGTCCGGCAAGTTATGGTAAGGGTTTAGCATATTTTGGATGGGAGTACTTGATAAAATCTCCTTGCACATTTTCATAAAACAGTGATTGTCAAGATTGTCTACTTAGAGAGGGCACTGTCAACAGTAAATTGCCACGATATCTTTCACAGAATGTGTGCATCTTTCACAGAATCCCAGCAGTTACAGAAGATTCTGGGTTGAATTCTATGACATGCTCTCCATTCGGTAGCACTGTCTTTGCTGCTGTTCCATATCAGTTGCGAATACTCCCTAGATGAAGGTGCCTAGCATTCCTCTGCAACTATGCACTATATGGGAAGATTGGCAGTGATGGACCACAATTGCAAAGAAACTGTCTTTGCTGATTCTTTTATCAAAAACCCAGTAACTCTTAGAACACAGAAAGTATTAGTCAAAACAATCTAGCTTTTGAATAATAATTCTTTTTATTTGCTGTTATTTAGTAGAACAATTCTAAGCTGTCATTGGTTTGAGTTGGTGTGACTCATACAATGGTCTAGCTTTATAATGCACAAGGCCAGCATCTTTGGAGGGTTTTATTATTTACAGCACCCATAGGAGCTGATTTTTTTCAGAACAAACAAAGTGGAAGCCTTCAGGAATGCAGTTGAATGCGCCAATGTTTTAGTTATAGCTTTCTTTTCACAGTATTGCTGAATGTGCATGAACACTTTCTCTATTTTTTTCTCTCCATCACCTTTGAACACAGGAAAAGCGAGTTGTAATGAACTCTGTTGGTCACCAGAATCTTGTCAGCTGCTTAGAAACTTTGCAGAAGGCATTAAAAGGTTGGTAGATGCTTCTGAAACATAAATAAGTGTCTGTGGGGTTTTTTTAAAAAAAGACTAGGAGGAATTGACATTAGGATAATAAAGGTGTTTATATGGTTTGTACTAGATGGGCGCAAAGAATTACTATGATACCCTCAAGGTTATTGGACAGCCCTTTGCATGCTTATTCAGAAGTCCTACTGTTTTTAGTGGAACTTATGGCCTTGTATGTTTATAACTGCATTCTTGGGCTCTGTGTTGCTGTAATGGGTAAGCTGCATACTGGGCATGTATAATGCTCATGTTCAATAGACTCATTGAATCAATTATCACTGTTTGTATAGTCACATGTTATATTACACACTCCTAACCTCTTGGTGTCTGGTTGAAGAAGAAAGATTGTTTATGTTCCTGTTCAGGCCGGTTACCAAAACTTGCAGCCTGTACCATAGTAATTCTCATTTTTTTTCCAATGGGAAAACTGGGTAAGCGAAAGGCTCCTGTGAGACCAAAGTTCCCACTCAGATGACTGTGTGTTGAATCTCTGCATAGTTCAATATTCTGGTTATCCACCTTTTAAAACAGCCACTGCTGTGAGGTGGCAATTCTGTCACTTTCTGACATCAAGTTTAATTAATCAAGTAACTAATTAAATTAGTACAGACAAAGAAGTTGCCTCTTATGTACACATCTGAGGGCAGTTCAGAATTATTTTTTACTCTTATTTCCACAAGTTGTGGAGAAAGGGTCTACAATTGTAGGATTGCTGACCAAGAGGCAGGGTCTTGTCTTTGGGCTGCATCTTTGGAATGTGGCACAAGTTCAGTGACAAATAGAAGTGCCTTGGCCATTGCCTCTACCTCATAGTTGATAAGGGGCTGAGAAGGTGAGCTGACTTTCTCAGGCAGTTAAAGCTCCAGCTGCCCAGCAGATGGAAAGATAAACCTGTATGTCTGCCACCCCCTTTCAGTTCAGATCAACTGTCCATTGATTTCAGTGGGTCTGAGTATGGCTTGGTTGGATATCACCTATTGGGTCTTTAATAAATTTGCTTATGTACTTGGCTTTAAACAAGCTCATCTTCCTCCTAGTGACATCACTACCTGCCATGACAGATCGCTTAGAGTCTATTGCAAGACAAAATGGGTGAGTAACTCCCATGATCCCTGACGATTGGCCACACTGGCTGGGACTGTTTGGAATTTTAGTCCAGCAATATCTGGAGGGCCATAGGTTCCCCGCCAATGAGTAAGATTAATCCTTTTCGTCTAAAGAGCTAATTGAGACTACAACCAACCACATTTTTTGTTGTTTGTTTTTAATTCATTGTTTATACTACACGCTTAAGAATGTAGAAGCCAAAGTTTTTGTTACAGTGAGGTCCAGCAAATCAAATGTTTGATTTAATTAGACTTAGATTTTAGTTTACTTCCATCTCTGCCCTGGATGGGTGGAAAAGAATGTTGCCATTTTTTGGTTTTGAAATAAAAATTTCAAAAAAAAAGGAATGTTGCCAAATACACATGGTTGCCAATCACATGGTGGTTATGTAGAAAGAGAAAAGTAAGAGGTATGTACCCTACACATTGGACTAGAATCAAGATTGGTTGTTGCACTTATTTCTCATTGGAATTAAAAGGGCAAGTTAATCAAGACTTACAGTACAATCCTATCTATGGCTGTTTAGAACTATTGAAGTCACTGTGACTTACTTCCTGAAAGTGAGGTTGAGATTGCAGGTTCAGTATAAATTCAGTGCAGCTAACGTGTATGCAGCCCATTATTATAAATCTTGAGCCTCCAGGGGTGATCAGGATAGATGCCTCCAGCCAAACAGATTAATTGATGTGCTATTGATTGGTATTTGATAAAGCTTTTCATGTTTGAATACCTTTTCTCTCCTTGTGTGTTAGTCTTGGATCTCATCTTAGTGCAAATGGCACTGAATGTTACATAACTTCAGACATGTTCTATGTGGAAGTCCATTTGGATCCTACAGGACAGCTATGCGATGTTAAGGTGGCCCATCATGGAGAAAACCCTGTGGTACGTAGAGTATGAAGGTCACACCAAACCTCTGCCTTCTTTTGTTTGTAGAAACATGTTTTTACCACCCACTAAGCACAGGGCAGGCTACAGTATGTATCAACCCTGAGCTTAACAGCTTCCTAAAATCCAGATATCTCTACTCCTGCTTTTAGTTTTACACTTCTCCAGAAGGAAAGTGATCTATTCAGCCCAATTCCCTTTAAGTCCTCTTAGCCAGTCCCTTGTAAAAACGTCACAAGCTGTCACATTTTCACATTCTGCCTACTCTTTCAAAACCGAGGCTATCATTTCCCAGCCTTTAATAAAATGTTGGATCCCTCAGGAGTAGGGAGAGAAGTCAAAGCTCCCTTTGCCCTATTACTAGTGTGGTACAAATAGCTTGCTAACCAAGTTAGTACCATTTGTAAGTCTCTCCTCCTCCCCAAACTTATTTTTTGTTCTTTGTCAGAGCAGCGTAAGAATTTGAGATCATTTTTTAACTTTATAGTCTCATCCTTCAAAATGCTTGCAGTCATTTCTAATCATCCTTACTTATCACCCAGTGTTTGAAACACTGGACATCTCTGACCTGCCTTCTGCATTGTCCAAACATCCTGTAGGACTGTTTAGGAAAGTTTTTAGGGTTTTGTACTCGCATGAAGCTGACATTCCCTATAGTCATGTACAATTTAAGCCAGCTCCATTGTGCTGAATAACTGCAACAGTTTCAAATGAAGTTGTGGCACACATTTTTATTTTCCCTTCTAGAGTTGCCCAGAGCTGGTGCAGCATCTAAGGTGAGTACTAAGTCTCTTTCATTATTGGCTACATACCTTCTCCCTGTGCAGTTCTGTTGTATGGCTACAACCATTTCTCCATTCCCTATAATGTCTCTTGTACAATTTATTATATACAGCGTTCTGGATTTATTGTGGCTTACCCATCCACCATATTGGCTATTTTAGAACATAGAGTACAGATCTTTTCTCAACCATAGTGCTTTTCAGGAATTGTGTAGGGTGAGGGGAAGATTTTGGAATGAACAAGAATTGAAGTACTGGGTGGGGCAGCAGTGTCGCTTAGATTTAACAACAAACAGTGGGTGCATATGAACTGAGGGTATTCATCCAGTTTTCAGTTTCTGACCCTTTTAAAAAGCAGCATAAATAGCCCGTATCAGAGACCATGAAACAGAATGTTTATTTACTTGCTTTTTTAAAAAAAAGTCCAGTGTCCAAACAATATGGAATTTTTAGGGGCACCATAATCAGGTTTCTTTTCCGTTCTCTTTTTCCTGTTATAAAGCACCACCCTGCCAAAATGAGCCTTTTAAGCATGCAGTTTTCCTTAGGATGTAGTATGTTGCTCCTGCCTTTGGTGGCTAATTAGCTATGACTTGTACAGCTGACCCAAATCTCTCTCACAACATGTGAAGAGTGTGTTGACACTGGTGCAACATAGACCCAATATATATTCTGTATTCGGGGACGCAGGTGGCGCTGTGGGTTAAAGCCTCAGCGCCTAGGGCTTGCCGATCGAAAGGTCGGCGGTTCGAATCCCTGCGGCGGGGTGCGCTCCTGTCGTTCGGTCCCAGCGCCTGCCAACCTAGCAGTTCGAAAGCACCCCCGGGTGCAAGTAGATAAATAGGGACCGCTTACTAGCGGGAAGGTAAACGGTGTTTCCGTGTGCGGCTCTGGCTCGCCAGAGCAGCGATGTCACGCTGGCCACGTGACCCGGAAGTGTCTCCGGACAGCACTGGCTCCCGGCCTATAGAGTGAGATGAGCGCACAACCCTAGAGTCTGGCAAGACTGGCCTGTACGGGCAGGGGTACCTTTACCTTTATATTCTGTATTCACTGAGCTGATTCAAACAACACCAAGTTGAGTTTGGTGTTATATGAATGGGCCTTATGATAAGGCCCTTCATCCTCCCCGTGGGCTCTCCATTTCATTGAGTTACTTCCCTAGTACAAACCATAGTTTGCTGTTACCACCAAATTGTCAAATAGTTGCTTGTCTTGCCCTCCAAACAGAATTGTAAAGCAGCTTCAAGCTCATGTTTGAAAGGTCCCTATTTATCCATGAAGGTCTTTGAAATGCATTGGATAAGTCATTGTAACTTGCACATTTGGGGTTTTTAAAAACATACTTTTCAGCAGAAGGTCTTTACTTCCTCTTTGGAATTATATGAAGACTGTTCTCATCCACTGGGGAGAAGGCAGGGTTGAGTCTTTAATAAGAAGTTAGAAGTGTTGTCACTCTGTACATAGGGATCACCAACATTTTTCAGCCAGTGAGCACATTTGGAATTTTAAGAAAGCACTGTGAATGTTAGTTATAAAATGGCTACCGAAGGGGCATAGTATAGCACAAAATGGCTGCTGGGTGCGGTTCTAGGAGAGGCCAAGCCAGTGCAAATAGGAACGGAGGGGGAAGAGCAAATAGTCTCTCATGCATTGTGACTTTTTGAAGGGGTATTTTTTGAGACCTTTGGCAGATGCCATAGATACTGGCAGGCGCATTGACATCATCAGGCACTGCACTGGTGAACTTGTCATATTTCTCTTCTATCAGGAGCATAGGGTTGTTGGCAACCACCTAGGCCTTACAATAATTTGTTTTGTTCTAAAGATTTCTCTCTTAGAAATTCTTCTTCAGAATAGTGGTTTCAGGGGTATGAGAGTCACATAGGGGAAAAGTCCTCTCAGAGAGTTTTGAGAAGGCCCAGGAGGACAAGTAGCCAGCAAAAGAGCGCTGAAGCCTACATACAGCTTGAGAGGGCACAGCACCATAGGCAGGCAGCTTGGGCCATAACATTTCAAAGTAAGGATACTGAAATGGAAGCTTCAGTACTTGCAACCCTCCAGTATTGGGGGGGCTGCCTATCTATTTTTCCTATGAATTGTATTATGCATCTTGGAATTTACTGGAGGAGTGCTGTAGTAGGGTGTGCTTTTGGAGCTAAAATGTTGAAATTGACTCCTTTTGCCAACTCTCTTAGGTGAGTCTAACTGTAGATATCTCTGGCATGTATGATTCTTCCAGATTCTCTAAAATTGATATGTTTTTCTTTCCCAGAGAGAGAAATTTTGAAGAATTTTCTAAGCACCTGAAGGGTCTTGTCAATCTGTATAAACTGCCTGGTGACAAGTAAGCATTCCACTAGTCATAATTTCTGTGATGCGGCAACACCTGCAGTCACATATTTGTTAGAGCATTGCATATAGTGGTTGAAACCCTGCCCAATTATATGTCTACCTGCTCCTTTTCTCCTTACTTTATGTGCCACCCCCATCCCTTTCCTGCATTACCACTCTTGATTATCTCTCCCAACTTCAAGAAAGGAAGCTAAGGTAGAACTTCAGTATTTCTGACGCTAGAAAGAACAAAAAAGGGGCTAAAATCTGCATCTTTTTAAAAAGAGGAGTTGTGCAGCCAAGATTGGATCCTTTGTGTGCACTGGAAATTTTAGAAATATGGCCAGTCTTAGAATATCGTCTTCATTTTGTCAAAAAGAGATTTTTTTTAGGAAAGCTAAGAATGTAAGAACCTCATGGCCCATCTAGTTCAGCATATTGTTCTCACAGTGGCCAACCGGATGCCTTTGGGAAGCCCACAAGCAGGACCTGAATGCGAGAGCAGTCTCCCTTCCTGTGGTTTCCAGATTCTGGTGTTCAACTGAAATAACTACATAAGCTATAAAAAGTCTGAAGCTTAAGTCCTTGGCATGTCTGTGATCTTGTATGATAACGGTTGAGAGCCCTTCCATGGAAGGCTACTACTGGTTGGACAGTGCTCTGGTTGGCTCACAGTGCAGTTCTATACATGTATACTGGAAGGAAGTCCCGGTGAGTTCCAAGAGACCTACTCCCAGGTTAATGTGTATAGGGTTGCCACATCAAAGCATCTTTTTGTCTTTTTTTCTGTACCAATTTTAAAATAATATTTTATTTTTTCTCCTTAGCAAACTGAAAACTAAAATGTACTTGGCTCTTCAGTCCTTGGAGCTTGATCTTTCAAAGATGGCAGGGATGTACTGGTAAGAGAAGTTTGCCTTACTGAATGAACCCAGCATTTACCTGTTGATGTCCTAAGCAGCAATACTGTTCAGGAAGTAGAACATTGAACTTGGAAGGAACTGAGTTCAAATCTTACTTGAATCACAGATCCGCTAGCTATTCCCCGGATAAGCCACAACCTTAGCCTCCGTTCCACCCTCTGTAAATATGGCAGATTATGATCAAGTTTAAAGGGCTCACATGAAGATGAATGCAACAAACACAGCCAGACTCACTCTACCCTAAAGCAGTCTATAGAAATAGATGCTTATTAATAAAGAAGCTTGCATATTACATTTCTTAAATTTGAATTGCTATTTAAGTTTCCAAAGGTAGCTTTATGGAATCCAGAGTCTTAAAACTGAAAGATAAACAAACAAACAAACAAACCCAACAACTACCTTTGGTCTTTGAGGAACTGGGGTTGAAAGATTGACTGCTACAAGTCCAATGAGGAGGTGGTACTGGATTTCCAGGCTCCCATCTAAGATAATAATCCCAAAGATTTATACTGTGGCAGTCTGGGGTCTTAATTCTGCACCAGCTTATCATATGTCTTTGATTCTGTCTGCTTGTAGGCAAGCCACCAATGCAAGCCCTTTGGACAAGATTCTGCATGGCAGTGTTGGCTATCTCACCCCAAGGAGTGGAGGTAGGCGACTGTATATTGTGACAGAAGAGGGGTCCATTTTACAATACTGCCCATTTTCCCCCTTTAAAGATGACTTGTGAAATGGTGCAATGCTACTTTTTTTTTGTTAAAGAGTTGAAATACCCATCCGCATATTAGCCCCTTATGGAGCTCAGCCTATCCAGTATGCCATAAGCAGAGAAAAGATGCATATTGGAAGACTGCTATCTAGCAAAGCAAAGAGCTCCATAAATGCAAGTGATCCACCTCGTAACAGAAAAGACAAAATATTCTCAGAATCTGCAGCCAAAGTGACTTCAAGGAAAATTCTTTCCCAACCCCAGATATAGCAGCAGGACCAAGAACCTTCAGAGCTTCTGAATACATGTTTGGTAAATTAGGTATACATGACCCACATCATAAATTACTGGGTTGTTGGGGGGTTTTTTGCTCATAGCCAGTATATGACTGTGGTTTCTCTGTTAATTCCGGGTGTTGGAATCCCTACCCTACTATGAAGTTGCTTGGTGATACTAGGCAGGCCATTTTTCTCATGGGACTGTTGTAAGAATAAAACAATGCTACATATGCCACCCTGAATTCCTTGTAAGAAGGTCATAATATGAAGGTGGCATATTCTCAAGGCTGAGCCACATTTTAAGTGCCATGAGAGGAAAGGGAATGTAGTTGATGACCTTTAGTCTCCCACGTTTATTGAATTGTTCCACCAAGACATTATTTGAAGCAAAAAGCTAGCTGTTTGGACAGAATTTATTCTGTGGTAGAGCAGCCTTGTCAGTCCTGAGTTTTGTCTACAACTCCCAAAAGTCCCAACCAGCATAGCCAGTGATCAGGGCTGGTGAGATCTGTAAATCATAGTGATGGGTTTCTGCTTCACAGATAAGTGAATGAGATTTGGGAATACATGGAACTTTATGCGAAAGAGAATAGAAGGTGGTGGGTAGTATGAAAAATTAACCCCCAAACCCTAAAATTTGTAGATCTTTGTCCTAAGAGCTGTGACCTTCCTAATTACATAGAATGCTAGGTGGACATAATCTTGTATGTCCAGATCAACACATAGGCATCACTTCTGACCTTCCCATCCCCATTGTGTTCCCTTTCCCATTAACAAGCTTTTTTCTTTCAGGTCACCTGATGAATCTGAAGTATTATGTTTCACCCTATGATTTGATTGAGGAAGGTACTGGAGCTCCTATTATTCTGAATGAGAACAACGGTATGTTTCTAGACATGCTTTCTGCTTCCAAATGTGCATTCTGAACACACCTTGGATTATATTGAAGGTTTTCTTTGAACCCCAAGCAGCAGATTTCTTTTATTTTGGTTTAAGGTTTATTTGTGTTTTCCTGAGTATAGATATCCCCCCCCAATGTTTGTATATTGAAATAGTATATTATATAGTCAGTTGAGTATTGACAGCTTCTTATATTCCAACACTGTCTGATGTTTATCAACAAGCAGTCCTATTAACATTCCTGTGGATTAATTTATCTAGACACCAGGCAAGTTTCTTGGCATGTGCATGTCTTGACTAACAGTGAGGCAGTTAAATAATGAGTTCAGATTACTGTAGTAGTAGTAGTAGGTTTGTGTTTTGTTTTTTTAAGAGACAATGGTTATTAGTAGGAAACATAAGCTTGTACTCTCTGGTTTTCTGATTAATGATTGTGAGCATGATGGAGTATCCTGGAAATTATCTAGCCTAAATATCAGTACTGGACCTGCCGTGGACCTTGCACATTAAACCCCCAACCATGAAGTTTGCAGCTTGTTGCAAAGACTAAATACCGTAGTAAACAGCCAAGTGACAAATTGAACCAATTTGTGGTTTATTTCCATGTCTGGCCCAACTTGCTGCCACTGCACCCATTCTTCTTCCCTCTTATTCTGATTGCACCACACCTGATGGTCTTTCAAATTAGAGAAGTGGATTACAATAGGCACTCCCTCAATTTTTAAAGTACTTAAAGCAGGTGTAGGAAACCTATGGCCCTCCAGATCAATTCTTTAAAGGGTTTTAGTACATAATGCTGATAAGCAATGCATAACATCCAGTTTATTACCCGTTGCTGTGCAGTGGATTTTTATTTTTATTTAATACAGCTGTTTGAAAAGTTAACACTTGCCTCCACTTTCAGTTCCTCGCTACCTGGGTATGAACATATGTGTTACAATTGAGGGAACACTGACAATGAACAAACTTCCAATTGCCCCTCTCATTATGGGATCTCATCCGGTGGACAACAAAGGGTAAGAAACAGGCACGATTTGTTGGTTACTTGTTGGTGCTATTTTACCATAATGAATTAGAATGATTCCATACGGTCATCCAAGATGGACAATGCATATATTAGTTTTCTAACGGCATAAATTAGTTACTCAGAACTGAACAAAGTGTATTTACATCCTTCCTAATGTTAAAAAAAAAGTATTTGCATGAACCCAGATGTAATACTATTGTAATCTTTTATTCTTTAGGACACCTTCTTTCTCCTCAATCACCAGTGCCAATAGTGTTGATTTGCCAGCTTGCTTCTTCTTGAAGTTCCCAAGGCCTATTCCAGTTTCTCGGGCTTTCATTCAGAAACTTCAGAACTGCACAGGTCAGTCATGTCTTCAGATAAGCTGTTGATAGAGTTTTGCTAGCATCAGTGATGTATTTGGTGCCATAACCTGACACCTAGAGGGCAGCAGTCAAAGCATTTTAAATTTTGGGTTGATACGAATATTTGCTCCCCTGTTCTTCAGCATTTCTGCAGCCTAGATCATGTTTTCCATATACCTGCAGCTTCAGACTGTCTTCCTCTTTTTTAAAAAAAACCAAAGTGTCTAATGTTAATCATGGAACTGATTAACCCAAATGATACAATTGGGAAAAGGCAAGAAATCAGAGTAATGCTAAGCAGAGTCTTGTATTAATGAGAGCGCATGGATGTCTTCATCCTTTTTCCCATATCCCTACTGACCACTTAAAAGCTAATCTTCTCAATCTGTTTTTGTTACTAGTTTTTTGTGTTTGTTTAAATCCAAGCCAAATCCTTAGAGACGTTAATTTTTCAGTCAAACAAATGGCGCAGAGCAAGCAGATACAGAAAAACATGTAATTTGCCTAATTGGGGAGGGACCAGTATGTGGCCTTCCATGGCACAGAGGTTGGATTACTCTCAGGCCTTTTAGATTGCCTTTAATGGTACTACTTTTCTCATTCATCTTCACACAGATCATGGGAGGGCTATCTCACTAATATACTTGTTTAAGATCCTGCTGCTGCTGCTGCTTCTTCAAGATTACTAGTGTAATTTATTAGTGTTCAGGTATTTGAACCCATCTCCCCCAGGTGCAGCACTCCATAAGATCACGCTGATTTTCATGTTAGCTCCATGTCAAGAATTTCACAGTTCCTAGCATTCAATATCCACATTGGAATATATTAAACACAAGTGGTTTCTGGATAACTGATTATAGAAATTTGACGCTGCAACAAGCATCTCTCATGTCAAGTTGTAGTGAAAATTATTGAGATCCCCTCTAGTACAAATACAAGTTGTAGGTAACAGCTAATACTTGTATTTTATGAGAGGACAAATCTCTGGGTGGGTGGTTATGGTTTTCTTTTTCTTTTCTCAGGCATTCCATTGTTTGAAACCTCTCCAACGTATGTCCCCTTATATGAGCTTATCACACAGTTTGAGCTATCCAAGGAAGATGACCCTGGACCATTGAATCATAATATGCGTTTTTATGCGGTAAGTTATAAGTGGGGATTTCATAAATTGCCTTCACCCACAGAATGTGAGAAGGTTGGTAAATTCTAGGTGCACATTCAGATAAATATCAGTAATTTTAATACAGGATCCTATATATAGCTTTTCATGATTAAACAGGCTATATTATCTGACTACTGTATAGAAAATCTATGTTCTCTCACTGGAATACTTTACATTGTTAGAGAATTTATGGTAGGTTTAGATGATGCCTTCAGTATAAATTATGGTGGAGTTCCACCATTGTGCTTTATCTTGAGGCTTCAGGGAAAAGTGGTCATAAAGTACACAGCAGAGATAGGCAACCTAAGGCCTGGGGGCCGGATGCTGCCCAATCGCCTGTGGACGGTTCGGGAATCTGTGTTTTTACATGAGTAGAATGTGTGCTTTTATTTAAAATGCATCTCTGGGTTATTTGTGGGGCATAGGAATTCATTCATTCCCCCCCCCCCAAAAAAAAATATAGTCTGGCTCCCCACATGGTCTGAGGGACGGTGGACCAGCCCACGGCTGAAAAAGGTTGCTGACTGACCCCTGGTACACATTAACAGGGGATTTGCTACAAAATAGTGCAGTGTTTTTCCACCCCTTATCTGGAGCACTTCTGTTAAAGGCTCAAGCTTTCTTGGAACAGGGAATCCCATGGCTCTGGTTCCAGGACACTTTTTATTTTCCCAGTTATTTTATTTAGAAAAATATTTACATCCTGCTATCTCATAAAAAATCAAAGCTGTTTACAACCATATCTGTGTATAATGAAAACACTTAATTTAAAATCAAAGACCATCAACTAACCATTATGGAAAGTTGTTTTCTTAATTGCTTGTATAGACTAGGGCCTCAGCAGGATCTCCTGCCTTATTTATTGAGAAAACCCAGAACAGTCAGGAATCTGATTCATTCAGCATCTGAGGATAGACTATCCTAAATGGCATTCCACCCTTGTAGGGGAGAGTTGTCACTGCAAGTCCAAACCTCAACAGGAAGTAGTCTGACCATGCCAATGGGAGGGAAATCTACCCCTCCTATTTCCAGACCACCATCTTTTCCACTTGGAGCAAAAGACTAAATCTAGGGCAGTGTTTCCCAACCTTGTACCTCCAGCTGTTTTTGAACTACAACTCCCATCATCCCTGACTAGCAAGACCAGTGGCAAGGGATGATGGGAATTGTAGTCCAAAAACAGCTGGAGGCACAAGGTTGGGAAACACTGATCTAGGGTATGCCCTGCTCTGTGTGCTGGACCAATGATCACTTGTGAGATCTATACAAAGCCATTTTGATGGCCCCATTTTGCTTCCTAACTGATAGATGTTCCACTGCTCAAGTTTGCTTTTAAGAGAGAATATTATTGAGAGAAGTGCAGTAGAGAAAGTGAACCTTGGACTGAAAGGAATGAAGGCAATTCCTGTTCTAAGAACCTCATATGATATGATTAGTGATCTGCAAAAGAGAATTTTTGGCATTATGTATTGATAATACTTTCAACTGACTCTTCAAAAGACAAAGTAATTATGCTGCTGTTGCTAAACTTATACTGATGTCTAGAAAAAAAATAGCATGAGATGGTATATAATGAGATCTTATTTTAATCCCAGTACCAGAAGATTAAGTATTAACTAGGCAAGCCCAAAGAGAGCAAATACAACCTAGTGGAGTTTCCCAAACTTGGGTCTCTAGTTGTTTTTGGACTACAACTCCCATCATTCCTAGCTAGCAGTACCAATGGTCAGGGTTGCTGGGAATTGCAGTCCCAAAACACCCAAATTTGGGAAACCATAGCACTGGTTCCTACCTCTTTCAATGTGGACACAATGCTTTTGTTGTATCTATTTGCTTTTGTTAGAGCCATTACTCACCTTCCACTGCCACTAGCAGGACTTTTTGGGAAAGGGTGGAATAAAGTATAAATGAATAATGCAGTTTTGGTCTTCAAAAACAGTAGTTTGGTTTTCATCTCCTGGCTATGCATGATTTTGTAGCACCCATCCATACTTTACCAAGCAGTAAATGTGAGATTGTGTGTGCCCCCTTCATAACAGGCTTTGCCAGGACAGCAGCACTGCTACTTCCTCAACAAAGATGCCCCCTTGCCAGATGGACGAAGTCTTCAGGGAACTCTGCTCGGCAAAATTGCTTTCCACCATCCTAGTCGGGTTCCTCTCATCCTCAATTTGATCAGGCATCAGGTGGCCTACAACACTCTGATAGGCAGCTGTGTCAAGCGAACAGTCTTAAAAGAAGGTCAGTGCTACCATGGTACATTGCCTGAAGTATTTGTAAAAACATATTGGTCTCTATAATCTGTCAGTCTTCTCCAGATGTTGTTAGGTTTGAATCACTACAGCAGCTGACTCCTTTGGCTTTTCCTCCAATTTATTTCACTTGCCTAGGAAGATCAGTTTTTCTACCCATTTATGTATGTTAATACTTGTACTCTTAGTACTGTTGTTGCTTCTCAACCCTTGCATTTATTGACCATATCAAAATTCTGAATAGTGTAGGGAGGCATGAACCAGATAGCCAGTAAGTTCAGGTTCAGGATTTCCATTCAGTTAGTAAGGAAACTAAGCAAGAGTATAAAAAACAAAAGAAAGCAGGCCCTAAAGCAAACTGCTCACATGGCAGTTAGCAGGCAAAGCCCACAATGCACCAAACTAATATTTATTTTATTAAAATTAATAGAAGATGCTTCCTTCCAGAGTAAACTTGAAGCAGCTAACATAATAAACATAAACTTTGAAAAGATTAGAGTAGCTCTTACACAACCCATGCACCATCAAATGTTTCCTGACCTATTTTTCCATGTCTTAGTTGAGCTGCAAATAAAAGTATGAACATCTTTCTCTCTTTCCCTTATTTTAGCTATAGGGCTTTTTAAGTTCATGGTCTTTGCTAGCAAGTTCTTTTGCCTTTCCAGATTCCCCAGGCATCCTGCAGTTTGAAGTCTGCCCTCTGTCAGATTCCTGTTTCAGTGTATCCTTTCAGCATCCTGTAAATGACTCTCTAGTTTGCGGTAAGTTGCTGGATGGAGGGTTTTTAGGGGGGGGAATGTATGTATAAACAGTCATTGAATGAAGATGGACACATTTTCGATTTAATGACCTCCCTGTGATTCCTCTGTGTCTTTCAGTGGTAATGGATGTGCAAGATTCTACACATGTGAACTGCAAATTGTATAAAGGGCTCTCTGATGCACTCATCTGCACAGATGACTTCATTGCTAAAGTTGTTCAAAGGTATGTCATACTGCTTAAGCCAGAATAAAAACTGATCTTTGAAGACAGTGGTTAAATATAAACCTGGTAACTCAGAGGTCACTTATATTACAGTTTTACCAAGGGAAAAATAATTTTACAGTAACATTTTCCTACCATCCTTTTTATATTCTGCTCTAATGGTGACAGCAGTAAAAGTCTACACACACAGCAGTTTTATTTCAGTAATGAGAGCCTACCCCAGGCAAGGGAGGAAAGTTTCTGGGCTAATCCTTAAAGCAATGTCATCCTGAACCTTTTCCTTTTCCTATTTTTTTTTGGGGGGGGTGCTTTAAATGCTTGGGACACATGCCTTCCATCACACTGCAATCACTAGCTTCCCTTTCAGCCAGAATTAACTTGGAGCTCCTGCTTTCCATCTCTACATTTCTCTTTCTTTTATCTATTTATCGACATATATTTATAACAAAATATAATAGATGGCAAATAAAGTAGAAAGAGGTAACTAGAACTTCTGTTACCTTTTATGTCCAATAATCCTTATGGAGATTTGTGGCACTGCAGCAAGTCCATCCTTCTGTGGTTTTCTCAAAATTTCTCGTGCCCACACTTTGACAGACCTTACCTATCAACTCACACTATGCTGTCTTGGATGGTGTGCTTTGGTATTAAAAACTCTCTGCAACTTAGAGTTGGATTTAAGGTCAGCTGCTGATTTCTAATTATTAAAGGCATTTGGGTTCCCTTCTGTCTATCAAAAGGAAAAGGCTCAGTCCTGTCTTCTGTGGGTTGCTTTTACTGCTGGTGATAAAGAGCTTTCCTCCAGGAGCAGAAGTTTGAGATAGCTGCTTGTCCATGCACCAGTGACATAAGGCAATTTCGTACGCTTTGTGTAGGAAGAAGAGTATATGAAGCATGTACACAATTTGTGAAAAGTGCATGCACTTTATATTTTACAGCTTGCATTTAGCTGTGGTTACCCAGTAACCTCCTGGAAATAGGCATGTGTTTTTCACCCATGATGGTCTCTGTATGTTGTGCACACTTTCATGTATGCTGAAATGATACATGTAGAATTTATGTCTTCTGTTAACTGAATCTGAAGAATGATGTTTTCTATCTCTTCTGGGCCTTCAAGCCATCTCTATAGTCTTTAGAGAAAGGAGTAAAATGAATAAAATAACCAAAATTTATCTTGATGTGAATAGAAATGATTTATTTGAAGTTCAGAATTTGGGTTTCATTAAAGTGCATAGCCATGTATGAAAGGAGTGCCTAGATCTGTCTGCCCTGTACTTTACTTTGTAATTCAGGGGTGGGTAACCTATAGACCACCAGATGTTGGACTTCCCAACTCCTATCAGACCCACCCCACATAGCCGATAGGAGTTGTAGTCCGACAACATCTGGAGGACTGCAGGTCCCCCATCCCTCCTGTAACGAGGCCAATTCTTCAGTTTAGCATTTTCAAAATGTGGCATATTTACTTGGGCCATATTTACTTGAACAGGCTCTTCAGTTCAGCAAAGCCTTAACATGCTTTGATTTTGTCATGTTCATGGAATAAGAAGATAAAGTAGGAACTCTCTTTTAAAAGAGTACATTCACCTATTTATTAATGAGAACTTTAATGAATTGAGTAGGGCTTCCTTACTCCTCAATTGCTACTTTGTTGCTGTGGTGGAGAATTCACCTCTAGAAAAAAAGAGTAAAAGTTTATATTCCTGTATATAGTGTGCCTGAGTAGTACAGAAGTCAGGCTCACTCTGTAGAGGTGTACCTAACACTGCTCATAATTGTTTATAATGAGTACAGCTTTTAGCTTCATGGGGGAACTTACTGCTGGCAAGGATGACACTAAACCACCTTTTCTCCACCTTGCCTTATAGATGCATGTCAATACCTGTGACCATGAGAGCCATCCGGAGAAAGGCTGAAACAATCCAAGCAGACACACCAGCCTTGTCCCTCATTGCTGAGACAGTTGAAGACATGGTGAAAAAGAACCTGCCCCCTGCCAGCAGCCCAGGTTATGGCATGACCACCGGCAACAACCCAATGAGTGGCACCACCACCCCAACAAACACTTTCCCCGGGGGACCCATCTCCACCTTGTTCACAATGAGCATGGGTATAAAAGAACGGCATGATTCAGTGGGCCATGGGGAAGACTTCAGCAAAGTGTCTCAGAACCCTATCCTTACAAGCTTGCTACAAATCACAGGCAACGTGGGCTCCACTATTGGCTCCAGTCCCACGCCTCCACACCATACCCCTCCCCCTGTGTCATCTCCGGCAAGCAACACCAAGAACCACCCCATGCTCATGAACCTGTTGAAGGACAATCCAGCTCAGGATTTCTCAACGCTCTATGGAAACAGCCCACTTGAGAGGCAAAATTCCTCTTCTGGCTCCCCAAGGATGGAAATGGGTCCAGGGGGCAACAAGCAAAAGAAGAAAAAATCACGTGTCACAGTGGAGAAACCCAAGCATCAAACTGAAGATGACTTCCAGAGAGAGCTGTTTTCCATGGACGTTGACTCCCAGAATCCCATCTTTGATGTCAATATGACCACTGACACTTTAGATACCCCTCATATTACACCAGCTCCCAGTCAGTGTAGCACTCCACCAACAACGTATCCACAGTCTATACCTCATACCCAGCCCAGTATTCAGAGGATGGTTCGGCTCTCCAGCTCAGACAGCATTGGTGCTGATGTGACAGATATCCTTTCTGACATAGCAGAGGAAGCATCCAAGCTACCAAGCACCAGTGAAGATTGCCCTCCTATTGGAACACCAGTAAGAGACTCCTCTAGTTCAGGGCATTCCCAAAGTGCCCTGTTTGATCCTGATGTCTTTCAGTCTAACAACAGTGAAAACCCTTACACTGATCCAGCTGACCTGATTGCTGATGCCACTGTGAGCCCAAACAGTGACTCTTCAAACCAGTTTTTCCCTGATGGAGTTGATTTCAACCCTGACCTCCTGAACAGCCAGAGCCAAAGCGGTTTTGGAGAAGAGTACTTTGATGATAGCAGCCAGAGTGGAGACGCTGATGACTTCAAGGGCTTTGCATCACAAACGATAAGTACTCTGGGCGTGCAAGTGCTGGGGGGAGATGGAGGGGAGAGTAAGTTCAAGGCAAGCAGCCAAGCGGACACAGTCGACTTTAGTATTATCACTGCTGCCAGCAAGGCTCTGGGGGTCTCTGATGTCATGGAGCATCATAGTGGAAGCCAGAGCCCCTTACTGAGCACAGGAGATTTGGGGAAGGAAAAGTCGCAGAAGCGGGTCAAAGAGGGTAATGGATCCGGGAGTTCTTTAACGGGCCCTGGGCTAGATGGCAAGGGTGGAAAACGCAGCCGCACCCCATCCAGCGATGGGAAGAGTAAAGAAAAGGTCCAGAAGCGGAGGAAGGTGGAGCCAGAAGGCAAATCTCCCTCTCATAGTTCGTCTACCAGACCTTTCACCCCACCAGCAAGCACAGGCGGCTCGAAATCTCCTGGAAGTTCAGGCAGGTCTCAAACACCCCCTGGGGTAGCCACTCCTCCCATACCCAAAATCACCATCCAGATTCCCAAGGGAACAGTGACTGTTGGCAAACCTTCCCATGGGCAGTACACAAGCAGCGGCTCAGTCTCCTCTTTGAGCAGCAAAAGTCATCACAGTCATTCCTCCTCCTCCTCTTCCTCCTCCTCATCGTCATCCTCGTCCTCTTCGTCTTCCTCATCGACCTCGGGCAAAATAAAGAGCAGCAAGTCGGATGGGTCTTCTGGGTCCAAGATGAGCAGCAGCCTCTACTCGGGCCAAGGCGGCTCTGGATCAGGTCAGTCCAAAAGCTCCACCCAATCAGTGGGAAAGCCCGGGTCCTCCCCCATCACAAAACACGGCCTCAGCAGCGGCTCTGGAGGTACCAAGATCAAACCTCAAGGGAAGCCTTCATCACTTATGAACCCTTCCATGAGTAAACCAAACATTTCTCCTTCTCATTCTAGACCCTCGGGCGGTTCTGACAAGCTGGCCTCTCCGATGAAACCCGTTCCAGGTACTCCCCCGTCGTCTAAAGCAAAGTCCCCTATTAGTTCCGGTTCTGGAAGCTCACACATGTCTGGGACTGGATCAAGTTCAAGCATGAAGTCCTCTTCAGGGATGGGATCCTCCAGTTCCATGTCCCAGAAGCCACCCCCTTCTTCAAATTCTTCAGCGGGATCTTCATCTTCCTTCTCATCTGGCAGCTCTTCCATGTCTTCATCTCAGAATCAGCACGGGAGTTCAAAAGGCAAGTCCCCAAGCCGGAACAAAAAGCCATCTTTGACAGCTGTGATTGACAAACTCAAGCATGGTGTAGTCACCAGTGGCCCTGGTGGGGAAGACTCAATGGATGGACAGATGGTCCAGAGTTCCAGTTCCTCAAGTCACTCCATGTCCTCCAAACACAACCTCTCTGGAGCTGAATTGCAGGGGAAGCGGGAAAGGAGTGACAAGGAGAAATCCAAAGTCTCTGTTTCAGGAGGCTCCTCTGACTCTTCCAAAAAGGCATCTGATTCAAAGAATGTTGGAAGCACTGGAGTGGCCAAGATTATTATCAGCAAACATGACGGTGGCTCTCCTAGCATTAAAGCCAAAGTTACCTTGCAGAAGCCTGGGGAAGGAGGTGGGGATGGCTTAAGGCCTCAGATGACATCTTCCAAAAGCTATGGATCACCGCTAATAAGTGGGTCTACTCCAAAGCATGAGCGCTGTTCTCCCAGTCACAGTAAGTCTCCAGCATATACCCCGCAAAACATTGACAGCGAGAGTGAATCAGGATCATCCATAGCAGAGAAATCCTATCAGAACAGCCCCAGCTCTGATGATGGAATACGGCCACTTCCAGAATACAGCTTGGAAAAGCATAAGAAACACAAAAAAGAAAAGAAGAAAGTAAAAGATAAAGACCGGGATAGGGATAGGGATCGTGACAAAGAGAGAGACAAAAAGAAAACTCACAGCATTAAGACGGAGAACTGGTCTAAATCTCCTATCTCTTCAGAACAGTCTTTGTCTATGACAAGCAGTGCCATTCTTACATCAGAAAGGCCATCCAGGCCTAGCCCTGATTTTTTGATTGGGGACGAAGATGAGGATCTCATGGATGTTGCCCTGATAAGAAATTGAGAATATTTAGCCAAGGTTGGCAGGTGGGGAGTGGGCTGGGGCTAAATGTTTCATATAGTGTTGTTTTAAAAATGTTTTTAAAGTTGTGAGTGCAAACAACACCCTTGTGGGTTCAGGTAAAAACAAGCATTTTTCTTTGGCTGTTCTTCTTGACAAATGGAGCATAGAGAAAAAATATTCTTCAACTCTTGGAAGTTTACATGGACTCTTACACATGCATACTTCCATCTAATCAGAGTCTCTACCACAAAGAATCGATGCACCACGCTATTTGGTGTAGTTCTGTCACTTGTCCCAGAGTTACATGCCTGTGGACTTGCAAGATAGAATTGAAACTTGGGCAGATATTTCATTTCTTTTACTTCACTTTTTTAGGAACATTTCCATTCTGGAGCGTATTTTTAGTGTTCAGGATTTAAGCTTGTTTGGGTTTTGTTATTCATACTCTGATATTTACACCAAAAATTAATTAACGGAATTGGTTCAGTGCCTGGTATCTCCCCTAGTTCACAAGGTGCTGACTGCCATCTCCTATTAAAAATAAAATCTGAAATGGAACTGTTCAGTGGATAGCACCAGTTGGGCCCTTATGCAGGTGGTGAAGTATTTGACATAGATGTGTTACATCTTTTACAGCCATTTCACTTAATCTTTGTATTATAAAATTGATTTCTTCCATGGAAACGGTTGGCTTCCATGCATGTCTCCTCTGTTACCGCTGGGTAGTATAAGATGGCAACTGAGTGGGGAAGAAGAAAGTGAGGGTTTGGTGCTGTGAGTGTAGATTGTTAGACTTCTCAGCCTCTTTAATTTTAAATTAGGTTGAAAACCCAGCTAGGAGAGAATGCTGTTAAAATAAGTGGGAGTGACACTTTTTCCCCTTGGTGAGTGTGGTTTGTTGGCATGAGTGTGGAATCAGTTTCCTCTTTGGTATAAGATCCACTGCAACATGGCTCCTTTACATACCACTCCAGAAAAGTAGGAACCTTGAGGTCATATGGGAGGAATCAGCAGTGCGGCTACTTCCCTTGGTAGTTGTCTCAAATCCTAGGCAGAGTAAAGTGGCTGCATCTTTGACTCCTCTCACATGACTTCAGCAGTTACTGGAACAGCATACTGGAGCAGCTCACAGGCCAGTGAGGTAATACAGGGCTCCAGACCTATTAAGAAGGAGCCTATAATGTGTGAGTGGTCAGAATATATGCTTAGTGAATGTGCACTTCAACTCCCACCTAGATACAAGGGAAACATTCTAGAATTTTTCCATAACCACATAGTACCAGATAGAGGTGGTATTGTGGTGGATTAAGATTTGCCATTAGAATTTGCCTTGCTGTGTTCCATTGAAGGCCATGAACTATATGCATATCACCCTCACCTTGATGTCTTGTTCTCTCTAGTATCGTCTTTACATGGAACATTCCCTGATGCTCAAGAGAATAGGGTAGCACCTGGTCACACAGAACTTCACGTGGTATACTAGAGTATACAGCAATAATGGGGAACCTGTGGCCATCCAAATGTTGCCGGACCTATAACTCCCATCATCATTTGCATGACCATTGGCCCTCCTAGCTGTGACTAATAGGAGTCAGAATCCAACAACTTCTGGAGTGTCACAGCTTCCCCATCCCTGGCATACAACCACCCATGCTGGGTTTGCAACGGTTGCAGGACTTTATGATCGCTAACTGTACACCCCAAACTGCTTCCACTCTCAGCAGCTTTTGTGTCATAGGTTTGCTCCACCAAGGATTATCCAATGAAGAAGTTGCATTGAGGCTTCTAATGGAGAAGCTGTACCCCCACACAACCATATGTTGCAGAGTTTTCCTGACTTGGGTACCTGCTTCCTGAGTTTCCAAGATACTGCAAATCATAAATTCAGAGCAAATGACACAATTCATTTTACTGCAGACAACTTGGGTGTGTACAAGGTCTCTGATAGATCAAGAGGGTTTTTTTGTGATAGCCACATCACAGAATGTAATCCTGTGTATGTTCAGGCCACAGCAGTTGTCTTTGTTATGAGGGTTTTTACAGTATTCCTTTCATTTAGGGAAGAAGCTGGGTTCTGAGAAACAGTGTGCAACTCAAAATGAGAAGCTTTATTGTTCAAGGCTTTGGACATCTTGCTGCATCCCAGCAGCAACATTTGAGTGGTGTTTTCATGATGGGACGCACAGTATAGTTCTGGTATCCTCTGTAATTGGAATGGAATTGTTGGAAGTATTTGGAAGATGAAGGCTGTGAGGAGCAATGTAATACAATTCTTAGGTATGGACAGTGTCTAAAATATTAAAAGAGGTAATGGGTCTTGAACCATGAATTCTACCAGATCTTTTAGAGGGGTAATTCTTTGGGTCCCAAAGTTAAACAATTGAGATTTTCTGTTTTTCAGTGGACATCCACCTTGGCCAGTAGTAGGTTTTTGAGTTATACAAAAAGGTTCTTCAGAATAAAAACGAGCCTTGATCCAGTGTATGAGGGGTGCAGGATTTGCTCATGAATGGATTCCCTTATCGGTCGTAATGGCTCTTTCCCTGGCACATATGAGGGATGAGGATGATGTACCAGCCTTCCATTTCCCACAAGTGCTGAACACCCAATTATATGTGGGAAAGAGGGGAGATATTAGGTTTATTGTGGCCTATGAGCCCTCTGTGCATAAACTGGATTAAGTCATATTAGTTCCATGGAAGTCTAAAGTCTACCATGCTAACGGGTTCCAAAATTGTGTGGTTGTGTTTTTTTTACCTTATGCAAGCAGGATGTTAATAAAGTTCTACTTTTAATACAATATACCTTTTTTTGTCCAGCAGTGATGTTTTTTTTCATAGGGAATGAAGAAAGATAAGCCATTCAAAGAATAGTTCCACCAATTAAAATTGGGAGTACACATACCAGTATCACACAATCCTTTTCTGTGTTAAAATCTCTCATGTTTACTTCTAAAAGTGCATTTATTTGTTCACATTACACTACATCTTTCAGTATTGTAAAGACAAACCAGAAAATAGGAAAGAATCAAACCTATTAATCACAGGTGTAGGTACTTCACCTGAGATTAAGATTGGTTCTTTTCATGTACATGGTAGGTCCTTTACTCTTGTGAACAATTGTGTAAATACTGCTTCTGGTGACTGAGGAGGTGGGGAAGGAATAGACCATTTTTAGTTTTTTGATGTACTTCAAATAACATGTTTGTTTTACATGCAAATAAATTTTGTTTGATAGAAATGTTTGCCTCAGCTCAATTTCTGCACTTTAAAAGTTGGCTTCTACTTGGATGAAGTTCTGATTGTCAAGTAAGAGCTTTTTTGGAAAGAGGGAAGCCTTTTTTGAAATTTCTATTTCAAAACTTATAAAGTTGGTAGTGCATTTCCTTCACGACCATAGCTGTTTTATATTAGCAGGAACTGGTAGGTGCTGAACATTCATCTGCATTTTTGTCTAAGAAGCTCAGTTGTCTAATAGTCTGCATCCCCAGACTCTTGGACTTCTGCTCATGCTGAACAGATGAGGACCACATCTTGTTGGTTACCCCTTGTACATGATCCAAGTTCTCAGTGGTTTTTTTCTTTTAATTCCTAGTCACCTATTAGTTCCTGAAGGCTTTGATTTACATTACAAGTTGACGTGGATAGAATATAAGCCACAATATGATGAAGATAAATACAGTACAGATGCCTATTGGTTTATTATAACTATTCTGGGGAATCTTGAGAAGGACTGTGTAGATAGATATTGGGGTGGATGTGGGAGTTTGTGTAATATGAGAATAGTTGGTCATAGGATGTTACTGCCTGGGAGCAGAGATTCTTAATTGGAAGATGGCATATATGGGACTAATGCTGAGTGTTGACAGTGGAAGGTATCCAGGTTAAGTGTGTCTGCTTCTCTTCATCTCCCAAATCAGATGGGCTAGTTAACACGGTGCAATATTCAGACTTTGTTTCTAAAATGGGCTTAGAAGCCCTATTGCCTTAATCACAGATTGGGGTCAAATTTGTAATAGTAGAGAAGGTAGTGTTTTGTGTGTGCTTGGAGGACTTTGCCTGTGTCCTCATGTACTCCTATTTCCAAAATTTATTTCTAGAGGAAATTTTATTTATTTCATTACATTCCAAAAGGAACGAACCCAGGGCAGACCAGTGATTTGATTTAACAAAAATGTTTGCATTAGTCAAAGGTGGGGGAAATATAGCGTGGAAACAAAATGCTGGTTTGCTGTTGTTTAGTCGTTTCCGACTCTTTGTGACCCCATGGACCAGAGCACACCAGGCACCCCTGTCTTTCACTGCCTCCCGCAGTTTGGTCAAACTCATGCTGGTAGCTTCGAGAACACTGTCCAGCCATCTCATCCTCTGCCGTCCCCTTCACTTTGTGCCCTCCATCTTTCCCAACATCAGGGTCTTTTCCAGGGAGTCTTCTCTTCTCATGAGGTGGCCAAAGTATTGGAGCCTCAGCTTCAGGATCTGTCCTTCCAGTGAGCACTCAGGGCTGATATCCTTAAGATCTTTTTGCAGTCCATGGGACTCTCAAGAGTCTCCTCCTCCAGGTTTGTAGAAGAGCTGTATTGTTCATATACAAACAAAATAAATTTCTAAATTTTAATCAACTTCTTTTGTTCTCGTTTGAGTAAACAACTGGCAAAAGCATCATTTAATTGGTTTTGGTTGTTTTCAATGCATGGTATCGGAGTAAAAGCTTAATAGTTTTGTTTAATAATTAACACTAGTAAGAATGCCTGACATTTATACAGTGTTTTCCAGTACATGCAGTTTCACGCGCAGTCCTTTCAGTAATCCTTACAATAGCCCTTGTACAGTAAATTAGTAAGATTACCGTATATGGAAGGGACCTCAAAAGTAACCTTAGTTCCAACCCCTTGCTTTTGCAGAAATCCTCTGCTGTTGCACCCCAGTAGCTAGTCTTCCAGGGACGCGGGTGGTGCTGTGGGTAAAAGCCTCAGCGCCTAGGACTTGCCAATCGCATGGTCGGCGGTTTGAATCCCCACGGCGGGGTGCGCTCCCGTTGCTCGGTCCCAGCGCCTGCCAACCTAGCAGTTCGAAAGCACCCCCGGGTGCAAGTAGATAAATAGGGACCGCTTACCAGCGGGAAGGTAAACGGCGTTCTGTGTGCTGCGCTGGCTCGCCAGATGCAGCTTGTCACGCTGGCCACGTGACCCGGAAGTGTCTGCGGACAGTGCTGGCTCCCGGCCTATAGAGTGAGATGAGCGCACAACCCTAGAGTCTGGCAAGACTGGCCCGTACGGGCAGGGGTACCTTTACCTTTAGCTAGTCTTCCATTCTCTGCTTTAAAGTCTCTAGTGAAGGAGAATCCACCACCTTTTAAAACAGTTTGTTCCACTGTCAAACTGCTTGTATCATCACTATAAGTATATGGTAACCATCCTCTATATATGTATTCCCCCCGCCACCAAAATGTATGCGGAGCTGATAGGATAATCACCTTGCTGAAAGCCAACCTAGTGAGTGCAGGTGGTCCACAACTCGCTCTATCTACCAATCCATCAGATCTTGGCAGAATTTGGATGCAAGGGAGTGAGGCAGCTACTTATCCTGGTTACAGAATGTCGTGTGCCTGCCCCCCCCCCCTCAATATATACAATAGCTGGATGAGACACCATGCCACTGGAATTAATCCTCCCCCCCAAGAATAAAGGAGCCAAATCTTCTTAACTGGAAGCTTTCATCTTGTTGCTCAAGAGAATGATCTGAAGGCACCTGATGGGATGCTGAAGCTAAACAGCTTGCTGCAAGGGGCACCCCAGGGAATAATAATTCCAACCCAGAGGAAAGGTAGAGAAAATTAAAAAGAGAAAAAAGGTTTAGCTGCGTTTGAAGCATTTTAACTGATGGCAACGAAGAAGCAGCTCCTTTTGTTGATCCATTCAGCACAACGTTAAGATCAATAAGGATGCCAGTCACTAGAGCTGCTTGGGAGCATGTCCCCACCGCTGAGCGTAACCGAAATGTGCCAGTGCGCGCGCGCGCTGAAAACAAATATCCACAAGCCTCACCGAGCTCGGTAGGGACGAACGGCTTCACCCGTGAGCCGCGCACGTGCGTAGGATCGGAACCGAAATCCTGCGCGTTGCGACGACCGTCATTGAAACGTGCATAGGTTCAGGGTTGGCGACGGGAGGCGGTCGCTTCACCTGCCCAGACCAGAGTTGAGGAAGGGTGCGGGGCAGGCGGCGGCGGGGGGGAAGGGCAGACCAGGACCCTCCCGGCTTCTTCGCCTTGTCCCCGGGAGCAGGGGTGGGCGCGCGCACACGCTCCTCCTCCCACCACCCGCGCGCGCAGAGGCGCGCGCCGCCCGTGCTCTTTCCCCTCCCCGGCCTGCGCCTCCCTCATCCAATGAGCGGCGCTGTTGCTGGCAGGTGCGGAGTGTTTTTGTTTTGGGTAGAAGGAGAAGAAGTAGTAGTTGTAGTTGACGAAGGCCGAACTCACTCTCTCTCGCTCGCTTTCTCTGTGCTCCCCCCCTCCCTTCTGGAGTGGGCCTAGTCGGCGGAGGGGGCTCCGGCCGGCCGACCCCCCCCTCCCTCAACCGCACCCGCTGAGGAGCCTTAACGCCGCCCGGGCCCTCGCCGCTGGTCTAGGGAGGCAGACGGGCGACGACGGGCTTTCCGCCTCCTGCCTCCCCGGCTGCTGCTCCTCCTCCAGCCCCGCAGCGCGAAGGGAGGCCGCGGGGCTGAGCGGCGGCCGCTGCTGACGCCGCCGTTCAGGAGCCGGGGGGGCCAGGCCCGGCTCGGCCTGGCCTGCTCTCACCCGAGCCGACCCCCGCAGGGCCTTCACCATGAGGAGGGAAATGAACGGAGTCACCAAGAGCCGGTTTGAGGTGAGCGGAGGGAGCATCGGCTGGGCCTTCCCAAAGTTTCCCGGGGTGGGGAGAGGGAAGGTGGTGGTGCAGGGCTGGTTTGTTCGGTTATGAATGGGGCAGTGGGGAGGGGGGCGTTAGATTTCACCGAATATTTCCCTTCCCCTCTTCTCGTTTCTCCCTCCTCCCCTCCAAAGAAGGGGGGGGACCCCAGATCTGGAGGGGCGATGAAGCGGTGGCCGAAGAGATGGGGCGGTGTTTGTGTGTCCCCTGGGAGGGTTTTAAATGGGGGAAGGGAGGCGACCAGATGAGGCTGAAGGAAATTCCCTTTCCTCGCCTGCCAGACACCAGAGAAGAAAACTGGCCGCGGAAGGAGAGGGCGACAAGTTCCCCTAAGTGGGGTGGGGGTGGGGGTGGGAGGGTTGCCTGTCGTGATTACAATGAGGGAGATTACAAGTGTAAGGTGGTTTCTTCTCCCGTCGACGCGAGGGCTTTCCGCTGGAGGAGATCCTTTCCCTCGAACAAAACTGGGAAAGGTGTATGTAGTCGTCTTTGAATAGGTAAGCCTGTAGAGAGGCAAATAAGAGGGAAACACTGTGTATATTGGGTGGGGTGGAGTCAGTCGTGATAGGTTACGCAGATGGAAGGGTTCCCTCGCCCCGCCCGTGCCATTCTGTGGGATATCGCTTGTGGGAAGGATGCGCACTAGAGGGGAAAGGAAATATTACGTTAGGAAGTCTGGTGTGTGTGCTTAGTGGCACCACGGTACATGTAGGGAAGTTGGGCGAGGAGGTTCGTTAACAGAGTTTGGGATTCCACCCACTTCCACTGGGAGTGGGGCAGGATGGGTGGAGAATGAGCTTGAAGAGGAAGGGGAGGAGCCTAAGCACACTGTGGGAGCGGCAGTGAAAGTCCCAGGATTGGGGCTGCCTTGATTATATACACAGTGGAGGAACATGGACATTAATGCATTATTATTATTTTGGGTGTGGGGTGAAATTAACCAGAACTTGAAGAGCAGACTGTGAGGTGGGGCAGGGTCTGACCTGAAAATGCTATTCTTCAGTTGTTTAGGGATGGGGATGAATTGACAGGTTGTAGCCAGAAGAAATTCAGTTATTAGAGAGTATGTGTTTGGAGCGGTGGTAGAGATAATGGAAGAAGGTTGCAGAGCTGCTGTAGAAGTGTGCTGGGACTAGATTAGAATTGGGAGAGAAACAAGTTGTAGGCATGTGGAGGCTCCTGAACAGTGTTAAGGCAGGCACACTTTACCCACATAATTTATGCCCTACCAATGAAGGGAAGGGTTGTGTGTGTGTAAACAGATTCCCAGGACTGTTTAAAAGGGGGCATATTACAGATATCCTCAGTCTCCTGTGAAGGTTCTTGAGGGTTGGAAGGTACTGTTAAGATTCTAGCTTTGTTCAGAAACTGCTAGAAGGGGATGGCACTTTTCAATTACTTGTCCAACTAATTTTCAGTTTATCCTCAAGTGCATCCTAAGTGCACTCTTATACACAGGCTACTGTTGCTGAAGATATAGGCAATCCACAGGAAGCAGAGCAGTGGAAAATTCAACAGCTCTAATGTTCTGTCTAGATAACCTTTACTTGGTATATGTAAAGAAAATAAAAGCTGCAGTTCCTAGGTAGTGGCAGGAAAGGGTCTCATCAGGAGGCTAGCTAACCTTGGCTAGGGAGAAAAGTCATCTTCTCCCAGTTTATGTCCCACTTAAGTGGGGGAGATAAAACAGGAGAAAGGTGTAGGGATTAGAGGAGGGTGATACTTCAGAGTAGTGGAAGATTCTCTGGAGTATTTGTGGACTTCATGTCACTGGGTGGTGGGGCGGGGAGGGAATCATGCAAGGACAGAAGCATGAAATGGAGAGGGTAGGGCCAGGGAACCAGTCTTAATGCTGCTGGCATGACCAGTTTTGTGCTGTTTGTTTATGGCTACTAAGGGCCTAATTAATATATAGACAAAGGGGATCCTCCTGGTCTGGAAAAGGAAGGTGGGCAGCTAGGGGGGAAAGGAAGGGCATGCAAGAAAGGAGGAGCATAGTGTTCCAGGATGTGGAATACATAGTCTATTTCTGTGTGTTTGTAAAAGAGCAAAATTTGAGGGTTTAAAGTAATATGTAAATAGGTATGTCTGTCCATGTGGGGCTAAAGTTCATTAAATTGTATGCTGACAAAATGAGTATTGGTCACATCAGCTTAGCAAATGACAGCTGTATATTAATCACAACTGTTTTCAGACGCTGACCAGTGGTCAGGGAGGTATGCACATGAGCACATACATGTGCTCTGACATATGGCCAATATAGTGGGTTTAAGGAAGATCCTGTAGCTTTGATGCCTTGGTGTATTTTGAAGTAACAAATGTGAATGTGATTAAAGGGCATTGTGGAGCCTGTAGCTCTTTGACAGGATGGGTGACTGGTTTACAATGTGTGGTGCTGACCCTGTGTGTTTGTGGACATTATGCAAAATGGATTGCTAAATAGCTTTAAAGGAAACATGACTGGTGGTTGGTGCATGTGTTTAATATCAGAATATATAAATGTGGTACAGTCCAGGACTACTGTTGCTTTACTATTCTAAAATTGAAAAGGAGAATCCTGAAGGATGAAGATGCTGTAAATAGTGCAAACAGAGCAAGCAAAGGGTAAACAGTGAACTATTCAGGAAAACATGGCACATAATTGACATGATCTGGCATCACACAAAAGCACCCTATCTAGCCAGAGATTCATCCAGTTCTTTGTCGTAACAGCTGTCCCTCCCCCCCCCCTTTCCTGAATTGATAGCCACAGTGCGGAGGAGGCAGCATCGTTGACACAAATAAGAGCAATAAGATGGTTCAAGTCTCTTTCTGTGAGGATTTCATGAGGGAGGAAAATAAAGTGCCCAAGTGTAATCTTTCAACAGTGTGACCAAGGAATAATTTGAATACAGGGAGGAGACTAGCTCAGCTCAGAAAGAACTTCTGCTTTGGGCACAGCTACTTCTTTACTTTCTGGTCCAGAAAGGAAAAATAAAAGTAACTGAGTCAAAGTACTGGATGACTTAGGCAGCATATGGCACAAGGTGATAAGTTCTGCAGAATGAAAAAGAGCGGCGTCTTCATCCAGAAACTGAGACAGGTAAAAGCAATGTTTTGGTTTCATTCTCTTACTTTTAATGGGTACTATTGGAAGTTGAATGCAAACTAAACAAAAAGAGTGCATGTTCATTGAATTAATTTCCATTGACTAAATATCCCAGGAAAATGTTGATTGGTAACCGAGTCCAAATAAAAAAGGTCACTAACTGAAGTTTTGTGACTTGCAGGAAACAGAAGTAAGAATCAGCTGCACATAACAATTTCATTATTTTTTACACCATCTTGTAATCTGAAAATTGAGGGGAGAGTTAGATACATGGAGGGGTTCTTGTGATTTGACACTAGTATTTTCCCCCCATTGAGATTAATTGTTTAATTATATGAGAAGGGGAATGTATTCCCAGGCCTTTCCCCTGTGAAAAGTATGTATTGGAACTGATAAACAGTGTTTTGGGTAGCACTGGGAATGTTTTTTTCCCAAAAGCGGTGTCCAAGGGAGATGTACAGTTGGGAACCTTAACATTCAAATGTGTGTGTTATGGTTGCTTATTCTAATTATAGATGTCTACATGGTATTCTTGTGAGGGAGAGGAAAGGAGGCATAACCCAATTGGGAAAATGTGCATACAATGATATATTTAAAAATGGAAACCGGAAATAATATGAGAGAGTTTTGTTGGACCAATTTCTGTTAGTAAATGAATATTTTAGTCTTTGAGTTATGTAGAACATGTAATTAGATACAATGGAACGATAGCTAATTTCCAGCTTGTATACAGAGAGAGACTACTTACTAATGCAAATATTTGTAGACCAAATATATTGTTACAGTGCTGTGGGGTGAAAACATTTCTGGAAATTTTTCAAGTGATATTTTTTCCATGGAAAATGTTCCACTTTTAGAAATGAGTACTGTGCAAATTTGGCAACTGAAATGAATATAATACTAATGAAATATAAAATCATGGTTGTAATTGGCTATTTATGTAGTGACTAGCCCTAGAAAGCACATGCTTATGCACACAGCTCCTGAGAGATACTAAATTTAGTATGGTAATATAGTTTTCACTACCTTAATTTTTTTTCTTTATAATTTTATACAATTGACTTGCAACTTACATGCATTTAAACTTAAACAAACAAATAAATAGGGGCAGGCATCCATTAAAACAAACAAACATTGGCAATCCCACCTGCCACTGCACTCAACTTGGGAGAGTGCTTGGAGGTGCAGGGAGAGTGTGTCTTGCCTATACATGATTTTGGCTTTATGCACTGTCCATGGAATTTAACCCCCACATAAGCTGAGACTCGACTATATGTTACTGATTTGTTTTAATAAATTATTTAAAAGTAGATTAATAAAGATAATTTCCAAATAAAGATTCAAATTTGTTTCAATCTAACACTTAAACCACATTGAATGTAGCAGCTTGAATTCTCCTCTCCAGGCAAATATTTAAGTTAACTGACTTTTGGAGAAACTATTCAGATACTTAGTACATAAAATTAGCATGACATACTTTTAAAAGTCTTGTTCATTCAATGTAAGTGAAACCAACACACTAAATCAGATCTCCCATTGTTTTATGGCAGCAGGGAACCCCAGAGATGCTGACTTGATCACAAGACATTTATCACCAAATCTGTACAAACACCTCAAACTAGGGAATGTTTTGCCTGCACTTGTAATAACTAAAGACCTCTATTCCAGTAAAAATAGACCAGGTAATAAGTCTCTCTGCCAGATCAGAGTCATAAGGGGTGCAGGCATAATGTTCCCAAAATAATAACCATGGTTATCTGGTGTTTAGGGGGTGTTCTTAATTATCAGATGTGACATCAAGCCATGGTTGATCAAGCCATGGTTGAGGGTGGAGTGTTGGGGGAGGGTGATTTGTGATCATGTCCCTCCC